AAGAAGAAGAAGAAGAAGAAGAAGAAGAAGAAGAAGAAGAAGAAGAAGAAGAAGAAGAAGAAGAAGAAGAGGTGGTGATGGAGGAGGAGGAGGAGAAGGAGGAGGAGGAGGAGGAGGAGGAGGAGGAGAGGAGGAGGAAAGGGGGGATGGATGACCTCCTCACGTGGTCTGGAGCAGAAGCGTCTCCAAGTTCTCCACCTCTTCAGTTTCCCTCTGCCTTCTCCCTTCAGCTGCTTCTCCGATTCCCTCCCTCAGGGTGGTGGAACAGAGCTCTCCTCCCGGAAGGGTCCAATCCAGACCCTGTCCTGGACCGCCACTGGTGGGCGCAGCCACCTCCTTTGGCTCAGGCCTGAACTCTTAGAGGCCCAGTGGAATCGCCAAGGAGACGCCTGGCCCAGGACCTGGGCTGCCCCCCACCTTTCCCTCCCCCCCCCCCCCCCCCCATTGCACTGCTGTCTCCTACCTTTGCACAGCTCCTGCCCCGCCCTTCCTGGCTGGCTCCCTGCCTTCAGTGCACGCCGGAGGATCGCGCTTGCCAGCCTGGGCTCCCTCTGGGGCTGCTCGGGCTGCCTTTCCCAGGCGCCTGGCTGCCACCTTCCCTCTTTCTCCTTCAGGGCAGCCACTGGGTGTCCGGCTGGCCGGCTGAATCGCTCTGCTCCGGCTGAGGCTTCCTCGCACCCTGGGGTCAGGAGGACACGGCAGAAACTGCATACAAATACAATAAACTGAACTGAACTAAACTGTTGTTTCTCTAGAAATGTGCGGCCTGACCCTCCCGCTCTCTGCACCCTGCAAGGTGGCTACGTCAGACCCCACCGAAAACCTGTTAGGGAGCAGCTGGCATCGCCCACTGTGCCCAGCGAGGGAAGCCAATCCTACCCGCTGGAAGGCAGGAAGGCTCGGCGGGTAGGAATTTCACTCCGCAGGATTCAGAAATGATTAACCGGGTCGTTAGGGGGTCGCCCCGGGCTGTTCAAGACCCATTCGGGAGACACACGCTCTCTCCCCCCTCCCAGAATTAGGAGGCGCTGCCAAAGTAAACTCACTACATCTCCCCCCCCCCCGCGCTTGGCAAGGCGTCCTTGGCTTCGTTCAGCTGCCGATTGTGGGGGCGCAGCCTCAGCGCCTTCTCTGACCCAGTTGCAAGGGGGGGGCAAGGGGCCAAGGCTGCCCACCCACCGCCTGCAACGCCTCCCTGCTGCTGGAGACCCACTCGGGATGTCAGCCGACTCTGGATCCCCGCTGGAGGAACGAGGGTCCTCCAACTGCAGCCCAAAGCCCCTCTCCACGCCCCTTTGCCTCCCTCCACGCCCTCCGCCCCCTCATTCTGGGCCAGGTTCCCGTCCGAGGCAGCGGACAAGCAGCCCATTGAGCGCGCAGGCGGCGCGCATCTCTGCTCAGCGAAAGGATCGCGCTGCCTTCCTGGGCGCGCCTCCCCCAACCCTCCGGCCAGGCTCCAGAGCCGAGTCCGGGGCCATCCCGTCTGCGCCAAGCTCCGCCGCCCGGGGGTCTCTATGGGCCTCCCGGGGGTCTCATCGGCTTCCAGCAGCGTGGCGGTCAGACTCAGAGGGCGCCGCCGGACGCTGCGGGGTTTCCACTCCCCCCGGGCAAAGGCAGCCCCCGCTCCAGGTCGAGGCTCCGACGCCGGAGAGCCGCCGCCGCCCGGGCGGTGCCGGGGCAGCTGTCTGCCCGATCTGGGACGTCCGGTCGGCGGACAGGTGAGGCGGGCGCGGTCCCCGGCGGTGTCGGCTCACCGGTGGCTTCGCGCACCTCCGTGCCGCGTTAGCGCTCCGGGCAGCTCCTCGGGAAGGTTCCGGCCACTTCGGGAGGGGAGCCGCTATTATTGCCCGCCGCCTCCCCGCCTGGGAAGAAGCCCGCGTCCGCCCAGAGCCCCCGGGGACCGTTAACCATTAACCGGGCTGCGCTGGTTCCCAGCTGGCTGACTTAAGTTTGATTCTATGCTAAAACATTGGCTCCGCTTCGCCTCTGCAGAGCCAGGTAAGAAGAGGTTAAAAGCGGGGAAGGAAGGAAGGCCCTGGAAGCCTTTTGGCAGAGAGCACGTCTGAAGATGCTCACCGGGACCGAGATCAGGAGGAGGGCTTCCAGGCCCTTCTGGCAAAGAGCCACATACACGGTCAAACAGAGGTCAAAAGCAGAGCCAAGGAAACACCCCCCCCCCCAATCACAAAGCCTTGAGTTTGACCTGTGCTCCACCTGGGAAAGAGGAAGAACCTGGGCTCACAGAGCAGGCTGACATTACACAACTCAACAGTGTTACTTGATGGTGGGATAGATAGTATATCAAAAAAGCCACCAATAAACTAACCTGGGATGTTCCAACCAATAAACCATAAAACAGAGGGATCCTTGGTGCTCCGTGAACTTGGTGGTTTCCCTGAAGACATTTTATTATCCAAACTCTCATCGGCACTGATTATGTTCCCTAGTTGGGTCATGAAACGCCTGCAAGAAAACCACCAAGCTCAGAGCGCACCGAGGACCCCTCAGAGGAGAGGGAGAAAGAGGGGGTGAGGGACAGACCCCGTCCGTTCAACCCTGAACTGCAAATGTTCACATCTGTAAGGTGGAGGCTGCTGTCTGCGCTGTTGGTTGGCAAAGAAGGAGAAGCTGAGACATCAAGCAGGAGGATGAGGAGGATGGATTTTATTTTCCACCCATCTCACATCTGACTCTGAGTGACCAATGAAGCCTCGCAGATGCTCCATGTTTCAATCCAAGCGTCTTTAATGGGCCCTGGAAGACCATCTGGAGGAGTCATACGTAACAGAGGACTTTCCCAACTCCAGGTCAAGAGAGGCATGATCAAGGCTTCCAGAGGCTGAGCGTGATCACTTCATAAGCAGCCCTGGGGACAGCCCTGTGGTCACGGATGGGGGAGAAACAAGGTCCCAGAAGGGCCCCCAGAGAAGGAGAGCCAAAGGCGCCGTTAGACGTCCTGCCCGGAGGATTGAGACGGCTCCTTGCTTTGCTTTCCGTGAAGGGTTCACAGTGCAGAGACTGGAGGCCACAGCTGGTTCAGCTACGAAACCAAAACAGACGCTTTGGCCACTTGAAGTAGATGGGAAACCAAAGCTTTGCATGGACAGGAAAATGTGATGACAACTTGACATGGACATGGCTTAAGATGGGAACCATCAAGAAAGAAACGGAAGGTTTAATCCTGGCTGCTCAAGAACAAGCACTGCAAACTAAGGCCATGAAAGCAAAGATACAAAAATCCACTGAATACCCAAACTTTGCAATAACAAAGTCAAAACTGTTTCA